ATTACTGAACTGTTTTCTACAGAAACCGATGTTATTCTAGTCTTAGTGGACGTATTATTGATGTAGAATTGATATAATATGATTTAGGCTTCAGGTAATCATAATTGAGTATATCATATACTCATATAAAAGTTGAGTAGATGCTGTAGGTAATTATTATCGAGTAGTACCTGAGTAGGTTTTTCTCACTGGTGATTACGTGTGGTATAAAAAAATTAAAGTAATGAATTAACTTTTAGTAATGTTGATTCACTACGAAAAAGCTACTGTTAAATCGAACTCTAGCTTGATCAGATGTTATAAATGTATTTCATTGTTTTGTCGTGTACAAGAAGGCATTCAAACACATATATAATAACTTTCTGCGACATTATATCAAATACACTGGGTCAAGCCTTAGGAAAGTTACGCACATACTATTTGAGTCCTGAGTTATACATTTATTCATGACCAAGCTCTCCTTAGATCTAGTAACTCGACTTTGTTAGTGGAAAATATTTATCACAAACTAAGCGTTAATTATAAGGTATCAGAGAAAAACAAAGCAACAGGGGTAGTGACGAAATATACGAGTGCTGAAACCAATTATGATAAGAACATTGGTAAACCTGGTTGTTTCATGGGAACTCGTTATCGATTTTTTCGATATAGAGTTAATTTTTTGAAATTGATTGCTTCCTTCCTTTCTTCGAAAGATTCCCACTGTTTTATATAAAGATGGAGAAGTAGAAAGTCAAAACATTTCTTTCTCAAAAAACGTTTGAGCTATTGAGCATTTGAGGCCAACACCTTATATTCAACTTGAACTCTGAAAGCAAGTGACGGACTGAATATAAACTAAACATTCTTTAATAACATATATCATCATTTATACATTCAATAAATAGCGCTGCAAGTAGATTGTGTTTTCAGAGATATTATCACTCTTCTTGAATATTCTAATTTCACTAGATGAGCTTAAAGTTCTACAAGGCCAAGAAACTAGTCGTAGGTTTACTAGATGATATAAGAGATCAAATCTTTCTGTCAATTATGAGTGAATTTTTAAAATTTTGCCTCATATTTCACCATCTTTAAATTAGTACCTGTCCTCTGTACCTTTTTCAACGTTTTTTATGATTTGAAGTTGGGAAAATATTCAATATTAGATCTTACCTCAAAGTAATTGTGATGTAAATGAATTATTTTTAACGTTTGTTTCACACAAGCTGCACTAGTGAGAATGAACGATAACTGGAATGAATTGGTGAGTATTTCCTTTCATTTCAGATAAAGAATTATCGCAGGGCTAACGAATAGTATTACAGCCAGTTTAAAGTGCGAATATATAAATACAGGGTGTTTGTGTTTTCAGGTTCTGCGCTTTTATTCAAAATAATGAGATACTATTTCTCCTTCAAATCATTAATACATATCATAGACGTATTGATTGAAAATTCAGTCAGTTTTATTTTTAGGACACTGAATATAAATCTGAGAGAAAAATAGATTTACCTCGAAACGAATCATTTTGTGTGAGAGTTTATTCTAAATATATTTCACATATATGAGAACAATTATAAGACTCATGACTCGTCATTCATATTTTGCAAACAAAAAAACGTTTTTCATAGCATCATCTTTTTCCTAAAACATAGAAAGAGAAAGTTCTTCCAGTTACTTTTTGACCTTTTCAAGATACAAGTTTACCAATTAAATCACGCAAGCAATTCCTGCGCTGAATACTCTTCGTTATTTTAATGATTGTAACCGACTGAATATAAAAATGTGTGATGCCCCTGTAGATCAGAAATAGCGTTATGGAGAAAAAGGCAATATTCGTCATCGGGAGCTACTTGAGAAACCTTTGGGACTACGAAAAGTTTAACAACTTGGGATTTTGAATTGGTCTACAAGAATTTTGTTTGATGATGAAAACTAGCAGCTTTGAGGCGTTGACTTCGAAGACAAAGGTAGTATCTCAAAGTCTCTGCAACGACTAACTGTGTGTGGATCACTGTAATCACTCGTATTTATATTAGTAGGGATTAGTGGGGTGGAGTTTCTGTGAGAATGTTGACTTCTCATTGGTTAGCACTTGTGTTAGGTCAATTGCTATCATGAGATGTCGATCAGAGTTAGATTCCGGTCTTGGCTTTCTTGACTATTGGCTCGTACACCTTTTTTCTGTTGAAATTGTTGAAAAGTTTATACATTTCAACGGCTTCCATATGAATCCATCTGTGGAAATGCATTGTAATAGACAGGACTGTTTCATCAAAATCATCAGCAACTTCTCTGATCGTGATTTGGCGATCGTGCATAACCAATCCTTTTACTTTTTCCACGTTTCCATCGGTCATTGATGTGCTGGGATCGTCATCTTCAACGTCTTCACGGCCATTTTTGGAAACGATTATACCATTCGTAAACTCTCGTTTTACTCATAGCAGACACATCGTAGGCCATTATTAACATTCCACACAGTTTGTTACACTTTATCTCATTTTTAGTTGAGATTTTATACAAACCCTTTGTTTAAACAAAGAAATTCACCAAGCTCCTAAAAACTAGTTCAACCTCAGCGGCTGCCACAGACAAAGTATGATCGCAGCTTAAAATTTCATCATATTTCAGATGCATGTATACCAAGATGATGAAAAAAATTAACTATCGGACTCTTGAAACTCGTGAAATTCAAATTTACTTAACAAACCTCGTATACCAATCATCCTCTAGCATTCAGTCTAACCATATACAGCTTGCATCATCGATTCATTTTCTCCTCGACGCCTGAATAATTGAAATTTATATCTATACGTTTACGAATTTGCAAATTATCGACTTCTAGTTATAAGTGATCAATATACGATATTTTTATTTCGGCATTTTATTTCGGCATCGACTACTATGTTTATTATCTTTGTGTTCTGGGTAGGACCTGTCAATAACTCTCCGACCCACCCTGGGAGGTATTATTGCTATTCACCATACATTGAGTTTGGTAGAAGCAAAAACCGCTTAGATATGAAAAAAAAATTATTACTGTAATCAGAAGAAACACATTGGGAAATATTCAGAATGGTGTCATTTTTTCTGGATTTAAAATATTGATAGCAGTTTGTCAATAGCGTTAGTGCACAAGAAAACCATGAAAACGACAATATACAAAGAAATACCTATTAGATGAGTTCAATCAGAGGAATGTTACCCAATCAAAAAAAAAATTGATATGTAAGTTTTACTATCTAAATTATTTTCGTTACCTTGAATTATTTGTAACAATATTTATGGAGAATTTGAAATTCAGACATTTTCGATAACCACTGATAAGGAATGCATACCAACAAAGACAGTTGGATTTTGATCAAAAACGAGAGAAAATATGGAAAAAATAGAATGGTGTCTTCGAACATAACCTCTGACGAATTCAATAACTACTTTTGCAGGGTGGCAGAAGACATTTCAGAATGAACTTTCAGTAGGTCTGTTGTTTGTAAGCAAATCTCTTGAGTGTATTGAAGCAAGCTAGCAGGGTCAAAAGCATTATGCAAGCATTTTACAATTCAGTTCTTCATTTCGAAAAACTTAATGTTTTCTCATTTTCGATACCTGGGTCGGAAATCTATTAATTATCTAAAAGTAAAAACTGGAGAGACTTTAAAGCAAAATTAACACTAAGTTTGTATACATGGGTGAGGCCATACATATTTTGGAATTCCGGATCTGACGTAATCTCAAACAGAAATTGAATTGACCTAACCACAGCCAAATCGACCAGATGTTGACGAGGTACAAACACAACCGTCATTCTGTTTTCCCTTTCCAAATTTGTGAAATTCATAACATACTTATAGCAAGTGGATAACACAGTCCCGCAGTACAAATTTCAAAAAGGTTTCAAAATCATCATACCAAGTAGAGAGGACTGGCAAAATGGCCCACCGGTAAAAGCGGAAGAAACTTGGTATACAGGTGGCTCAAATATTCAAGAAGGAGTGAGAACCGGTATTTATGAGGCAGAGCAAAGACAAGAATCGCACTCACCCTCGGAAATAATGCAACTGTGTTCCAGGCTGAAGTAGCGGCCATCGAACATTCATAAAGGAAATAAACAGGCAGAAGGTCGCAAATGAAACCATTGCCATTTTCTCCGACAGCCAGGCGGCAATTTAGGCGCTCAGCTCATTCCAAGTTTTCTCAAGACTGGTGGGAAGCTGTCCGAGCGCACTCAAGGAGCTAAGTACCCAAAATAAGGTCACTCTAGCTTGGGTACCCGGACATGAGAGTGACAAAGGCAATGAGGAGGAGTGAAGGCACATCCGAGGCTGTGATTGGCCCAGAACCCTTCTGCGGGGTAGCGAAAGCATGTATAAAGACATCCATAGATTCATAAATAAGCTCCCAGGAACAAGGCAAGCGAAAGAGTTCATAAAGGAACCATCGCCCAGATTCACGGTAGACCTGCTAAACCACAACCATAACGTTGTAAGGGTAGTGGTGGGTCTACTAACGGGGCATAGCCGACTCGGGAAACATATGAGCAACATGAGTCAGACAGAATAAACCCAATGCAGGTTCTGTCAAGAAGAGCAAGATACCGCACTGAATTGGCTCTGTGAATGCGAAACGATTGCAAGGCTGAGACACGCAAGATGCGGGAAAGAGAAACCAGAAGCTGTCAGCTATGTGAAGGGGTCAGTGTCAAGGCTATGGGGTCTCATCAAAGAGATCAAGCTAAACAATAAGCTCTAATAACCAAGGAGAATCACAATAGATCTGAAAAGGTCACAGTGAATCAGGTCATGGTCCCCGACAATCTAATCTAATCTATTGCTAGTTGAATTTGTTTACCAGACTACTAAACTTTTAGGTAAAATTTTGTCATTATCATCTAATTTTCTCATTTCCACTCATGAAATGGCGTCTCTTCACCACAGTCATTTGTTATTTCATTAAGCTCAACAGAAGATCACCAGCTGATCTATAAAAACTATCTCCACTGAGAATAGAAAAAACAATTCAGGATTATTGTAATATGTTTTATTCGGTTTCTAAAATTCGATAATTCAACAAAAATAAATTAAAAAATTCATCTACATAGTTAATTGATATAGGCTACTGAACCTGGCCGCCTATCGTCACATACTCCCACTATTTCGCCTGTTGAAGGATTCTTAGCTATTGCTGCTACTGCTGCGAATCCATAGTCATCCTTGTAGTCATACTCATGTCCAATTTTGTGCAGACCGTCAACGATGTCCATTCCCTGAAAATGAAGGAGAAATAGATGATAGAATTTCAATCAAATTTTTTCCCAAATTTCAAATTCTATGCTGTCAATATCGATACATCCTAATTGAATTGTTTTGTTTTGTTATTATTCTCAATATTTTTCAAATACGCATTTTCATTACACGGGTAATATACCAGGTGACAGGCTATTCCTGTATACCCTCTCTTTTCTTTATACCTTCAGCAATTTTTATGAAATTCTTAATATGCTCACAAAAACGCACATTTGACGTGATGGGATTTTTTTTCCGGTTTTTTCGGAAAGGACATCAACGTTTGATTTTCAAATAAAACACTTTGAATGTTATTACTTTTGAAATCTACAAAATGCACTTGCTGCTCATCGGTTGTACTGGGACTGATATCAAGCACGACAATGTTTGGCTTGAAATCACCCCAGACAACTAACTCAACGGGGCGTTCAGGCCTATGCCTGATCATAATGACGATAATAAACAAATTATTATTTCTGAGGAAATGGAAATGAATGTTTCCATAAGGCTGAAAATCACTGAAACAGTATCTCTCAGGCAGCTTGAGTTCGAGGAATTGTGAAAAAATACAAGTATCAATCTCTCAAACTTTCCACTAATAGCTGTATAACACCGACACAGATGGATTCTACACAATAATGTGCAGCCAAATGATGAGTTTTTGAGAACCAATCTCAGTTTATTGAAGGGACAGAATATCCGATATTGAGCGCAAGAAGATCAGAATTTGTTTCGGTAACGAGATTTCCAGGAATGTTTCCGATTCAATGTCTATCTGGGAATACTAGAAGTGATGATATGTATCTTTAGAGTAGAGAGGGTGAGTGTAGGCCCACAGCACATAGGCTACATGTGACGCATTGTATATTCTCCCGAGGAGTCCTCCTAGGTCATCGTCTGTCCTTTCCTTTCCAGGGAGGTGGACAGGTCTCTGAAAGACATCTCCTTTATATCAGCAAGTGTAGACCAAGACCCGCCGAACATACACTCTCTTATTGACGATAACTCCGGACATTCGCATAGGACATGCCTGACAGTTTCATCTTCTTGTTCACTCATCCTGCATAGAGGTGTGTCCACTAGCCCCATATTGTGGAAGTGTTCCCTTAGGTGACAGTGGCCAGTAAGAAATGCCAGGGTCGCCCAGGGTGATCCTGGAAAGATTGCATCCGTTGACTCCATCCCATCTGTTTAGGTATTAAGCATGGGTGTGACGTTTGGCTAATTCCGCAATTCTCGAAGTCATCAGGCCGTGAGTGGCAAAATTCTCAGTCCAGCCGCTTCCTTGGCTAAACAGTCGGCAATATGATTACCTTTACTCCTGTCGTGTCGTTTAACCCACCTCAGGATAATGTTATTATCTACCGAAGCTTTGGCTAAATCTTGGTGGCACTCTAGTACTAGCCCTGAGGAAACACATTGTCTGCTATTATTGCAGATTTTTTTTTATGTTTTTGCCAGAAATTCCTTTCCTGATTATTTCTTTTGTGGCGATTGAGATACCAGTCAGTTCTGTTTGTACCAAGATGGTATTTTTTCCATTCCCCACTTAATCTTCTTAGTGATCTTGAGTACACTCCACATCCTGAGGCTTCTTTGGTTTATGAGCCATCTGTATATATGCATATTGCATTTGTAGCATCTATTTTATTTGTATTTTGTGAGGTTAAATGAACATAAACCTGGGTTCAATTGCATCACTGGTTGCCTGTAACAGAGGTTGCACAGTAAGCGCTTTTCGCTACAGGCTGAGCCTCAATTCAGCCATTCCTACTTCGAGGTTTACACCAGCCGTGTGCAACCGTATCATGGCCATTATGTAACACGCATTAACGCAACCTCCTCAACGTACAGGTCCAGAGGGGTTAGACCTGAAATTAACTCCATTGTCGGGGTTGGTGTTGTTTTCATGGCTCCTGTGATGTTAAAACAAACCAATCGCTGTATTTGATATAATTTTTGGATGACCGTTGCTTCAAGAACTCTCTGTCCCGATGCAATGTCTCCGTACGTTAACATAGGACTTATTATTGCAGTGTAGATCCAGGTAACCACACGGGGTGAAAGACCTGATGCGCATCCCACTCTCCTCCGACATTGCTCATAAGCTACATGTGCTGTTTTTGCTCTACTCTGTAGGTAAGAGTTCCATGTTAGCTTCCTGTCGAGGATAGTACCAAGGTATTTCATCTCTTCAGAGAAGTTTAGTTTGCTTCTGAAGATTTCGGAAGGTTTTGAGCCCGGTAAACTTCTTTTCCTGGTGAAAAGGACTATCTCCTTCTTAGGATTGATCGACAGTGAGTATTCCTTCCACCATGATTCTATTAATTTAAGCCCATCCTGCGCTCGATCGCACAGTGTGTTCACAAATATGCCATTCTGCACTGATAACTATGTCATCTGTATATGCAATTGTGTAGAATCCATTAATGTTGAGGTGATTAATTAGGGTATCTAGAACTATGTTCCAAAGAAGGGGTGATAAGACCCCTTCCTGTGGACATACCCTCATGACTAGTCCTCTCACGGTGATGTCTTACTCATTGCTCTACTAGATAGCACATCTTAAGTATCCATTCTCCTACTATCAGATGTACATTCCTGGAGTGTAGTTGCTGGGTAATTGTTGGGAAGGTGAAGTGAGGATAATTGGCCCCAAAATATTTGATGGACCTTTGAGTGATGCTTGATACCTAGGTTCCCTCAGAAATGAAATTGAAGGATATGTAGAAGATGGAGCACCTCCCTATAATAGTAGGATAGTAAAGGATTAACTCCGTAATAGATTTGAAGAGCAACGGATTGGAACGCATGATCCTATCAGGGGGTCTGCAAGGTCACACGACTCAACCCCTTCATACATTTTCATTACACTTGAAAAACATTAACTTCGCAACTATCCCAACAACTCTCGAGGACCTAGAAGTACGAGTAAGACAAACCATTCAGAGTAAAATGCCTCAAATATTTTTCAGTCATTCGAAATGCCACAAAACGAGCTTGAAAAAGGCTGGTTGTTGACGATCTATAATTCGAACAGCTGGGATTTATTCGTGTATTTAAAAAAAAAATTCGTTTCGTAATGAATTACAATGTGAGGAAATATCTATTTTTCTCCACATTTATAATTGTGGTTACACTGATCTCATGAGAGAAAATATGGCTGGATTCATAATTGTGAGTATTGCGAATACGGTAGGTGGGCGAGTGCCGCCCTAGAAATCAACGGACGCAGCGACGACAAATTATTCTCGAGAAATTCAATTCCACTAGAATTTCTCTTCCAGATAGTTGGGAACGTCAAGAAAGGATAGAGATAAGGAACATTTTAGAAAATTCACTTAGCAAAGTTCAAGGTATGACCGAGACAGCAAACGAAGTGAACCAGTGAAATAATTTTCGAGTGATAATTGTGAGTGCTTTTGATTTGTATTTTTATGTTTTCGTTTCGTAATGAATTACAATATGAGGAAATATCTATGTGTCCCCACATTTATAATTGTGGTTACTCTGATCTCATAAACGAATATAGGGCTGGATTCATAATTGTGAGTATTGCAAATACGGTAGGTGGGCGAATGCGGCCCTAGAAATCAACGGAATGCATCTGTACATTCAAGAACGTACTCGCAGCGACGACAAATCATTCTCGATTAATTCAATTCCTCTAGAATGATATTTCTGTTCCAGAAATTTGAGAAAGTCAAGAAAGAATAGAGATGAGGAAAATTCGCTTAGCAAAGTATTAGATATGAGTGACGTGCAAACGAAGTGAACTAGTGAAATAATTTTCGAGTGATAAGTGTGAGTGGTTTTGACTTGTATCTTTCATTATTTCAATCAAGTTGTTGATTCACAAATGTGCCCCTTTCTGAACAAACTGGAAACGTAACATTAGTATTTCAGTACCATCAAAAAAAAATTGTAACTTTTCAAAGAAAATTCCACTTGGTGTTCTTTCTCGTCACATAAGAAAGGTGCTAGATACTTAAATTTCCTCAGAAATGAAATTAAAGAATATTTATAAGATTTACTAGTTAATTTAGCAACTCAACTGTTTTTTCAGCAGGATGGAGTACCTACCCATAATAGTGGGATAGTGAAGGATTACCTCGTAATAGATTTTGGGAGCAATGAATTGGAATACATGATCACATCGGGTGGTCTGTAAAATCACCTGACCTAATCCCTTCATACTTTTTCATTTGAGGTCACTTCAAAACCATTGTCTATGCAACTTCTCCATCAAACCCTGAGAACCTGAGAACTACGAGTAAGACTAACCTATCAGAGTATAACTCCTCAATAATTTTCCAAAGCCAATCAAAATATCGCGATACGAGTGGTATTTTGAAAATAGAAAATTCCACTTGGTGTTTGTTCTTTCTCCTCGCATAGATCGAACAGTTAAATATTTTTCATGAAGCCTAAATATTTGTATCGCTATTAAAATCTATATGAACAATTCTAAATGCATGCAAAAAAAATTACAACTTATATATTACTCATGATAGTATCATTATATTCACAAAATTTAAAGAAATCCAAAAATATACTCTGATTTGTTATGCCTAGACTATTTCTCAAGATCTTGTCTTTCTTTTAGGGTCTCGATGTTTGTGATGACCTTTTTTTTCGAAGAATCCTAGTGTGTTTTTTCGAGATACACCAACTATGGTTGATTTCTCTTTCAGATCGTATGTTAATTTCAGTCTCAGTTGACATTTACTTCAATAAATAATTTTTTGTTCATTCTCTGTCTGTTCGTTCATTTGTACTGACAAAATCCATGAAATTTATGCGAAGCAAGAGTTATCTATACAAAAATGTCAATAAGCTTAATACTAATATTTTACATGTTTACCTGACATTTCGGTGGAAAATAAAAATGACAGGAGTGATATCTGGAATGGGATAATTTCAAAAATGAAGTATTGAAGTGAAATTTTGAATTAGTTATTTTTTTCGAATCTATTGAACACTTCTTCCACACGAAGAGAGAAATATTGCTCCTGAAGTCGAGTTTCAGGAAATAACCATTCCATTTGATTCAATACTTGCCCTACTTCACTTTTTCTCAACTTGATTGAGGTGAATGCCGATGTTCGGAAGTAAAGAGAAATAATATTTACCTTCTTCTTATAACCACTTTCAAAAATAATTTTCATAGGGAAGAGCTGGTGGTGCAGTCTCATTTCGTTGATAGCAGACTTCAAATCCATACCAAACCAAAGGTGCTTTATGACTGTCTGAAATAAAATGAAGAAAATGATTCAATATCCACATTTTGCTGGATACATCTATGGTGATGTTGGTGTGGCAGTGAAACTCATCAAAAAAGTGTCATTTGAACACTCCACTGTGAAATTTTCAAATAACAGTTTACAAAACCACAAGTGATTTACTACACAACTATTTTTTTAGGGGTATTCAATACACAGAATATTAGACAACCATGCAGCTTCTGTTTAATGAAGTGTGAATCTTTCATAATGAAATCTTATAGAATGAGTCCATTTCAGTTTTTTCACGGTGCTTGATATACTTAATTTCGTCTTTCTGAAGCAATTGAAATTAATGTAAAATTAATCGTTCATCGCAACAAGAACTGAAATGTCTGATGAACAACTGTTTTTTCTGCAATATATAGATAAATTTGTAATATATTCGAATAAGTATTAAATTGAAAACAAAATCTATCCAACCGATTTCATACAATGCCTTTCTTTAATGCTCCCCCCCTTTTATTTTTTGAACAGGTCAACTCGAAAAATTCAAATTTGGGATAATGGAATAAATGCATGAATACTTCATTTTGAAGTGAAATTGACAGATAAAACTTCTAATATGGCGACTGGGCGCAACCTACTACAAAATGGCGAAACATTTAATAATTTCCTTATAATGATATTTCTAAAAATATTCCTTTCAATCTACCATATGGCAATTCCAACAAACCGATAAGGTTTGTTAAGTTATTTTTTGTTTATAAACACGATAAAAAATGTCAGTTCGACAATGAACATCATTGTTCAGTCAGAATATTCTCATTTTGTTTTCGATTTTACTAGTAGAAAGGTATCACGTCAACAATCCCCAAAATGGTCAATTATCGTCCATTGGAAGAGAAAATTGAAGCGATTTTTATTTACGGTGCGACGCGTTACTATAACGAGACCGAAAGGATTTTCAATGAACGTTTTCCGAATCGTCTTATATGTAGAAAATATTTGAGGGAACTTGGAAAACTCCGGGAAACACATTTCCAACATCCACAAAAAATTGAAAATATTGAAAAGCCATATTTTAGGACCTCTATTTATCGATCAAAATTCAACAGGAAAACTGTATTTGATTATGCTGGAAACTACTGTTGACCCTCTCATCACTGAAACCGTCGAAGCGAATCCTAATATAATTCGATACAATATCCATATCGAATAATAATTCGATATGGATATTGTATTCCAAATAGATGGAACACCACAACATTACTCCAGACAAGTAAAAAACTATTTGGATACTACTTTTTCCGGTCGTTGAATTAGCCGTCGAAGTCCTACAGAATGGCACCCCGCTCGCCAGATTTGACACCTTTGGACTTTTTTATGGGGCCATTCAAAGCAAAAGGTGTACGAAACTGAACCTGCTTCAATATTGGATATACGGCAGAGAATAATAAATATTTGTACAGATATTGACGTTACTGTGTTCGAAAATGTTCGGCGTGAAATATCGGATAGGCTGTTCATATGTCAAGAAGTTCAAGGCAACCATTTTGAACATCTTCTGAACTGAGCTCAGGCTTATTACCTCATATTATGTAGTTAAATGTCAATGCATTTATGCAATTATTAAAAGTTCCGCCATTTCGTAGTAGTTGAAGATATTGACATTATATTCTAGGGTTGTGAAGCAGGAGCTTCTAAATGATATGTCACAAGACCCCTTTTCCATTTAATTTGTTTTTCCCAGATGGCGCCCAGTCGCCGTCTTGAAAGTTTCATCTGTCAATTTCACTTCAAAATAATGTATTCATGCATTAATTTCATTAGCCCAAATTTCAATTTTTTGAGTTGATCCGTTCAAAAAATAAAGGGGGGGGGAATTAAAGAAAAGCTCTATATATTGATATGAATCAGAAAAGAAGCATCTTCATATGAATTCTATGTCTTTGGAAAACTGGCATTCATAAAATCGTTGTTGTTTTCCATTGAGACCACAAAACCTCGAACTAATTTTGTAATTTTTTCTATACCTAGGTTACCGTTTTGGTCCATTTGAAAATTTACAAAATACCAAACTCATACCGACAAAAACTAAAACCAAGCACTTCTTCTCTACAAAATACAAGGCCCTAATCAAAGTTCATTCCATAAAAATTATCTTTGTTATTACCAATGCAACAGCTGTGGTTATTTTGGTACCACCCGATCCACCAGGAACCATGATGACATTCTTGTTCTCGTCCAAAACAATAGTAGGGCACATTGAAGACATCGGTCGTTTTCCAGGTGCTATGTAGTTGGCAGGCGAAGCCGGAAGGCCAAACCCGTTCGTCATGTTGGGCGAGGAGAAATCGTCCATATCATCATTCAAAATAATGCCCGTGCTGTTCGATGCAAAACCAGCTCCAAATCTGAAATGTATTCGATTGCATAATAACAAACAAAAAAATGTCTACTCACTATGTAATAAATATACGTAGAATTGGGGACCCTTGTATACAGTGTGTGACAGCCAAATGGAATAAATTCATTATTCTGATTACGGTACATATTTTAACAAAATCCCGAAACACGTCAAATTCAAATCATAATTTGACATACTTCAACGGAAAAATGCTACTCCTACCTTCAATCCCCGTCGAATGACAGGTACAACCCCCAATTTTTTAAATGGGAAGTATAGGCTTGTGATAATATATCGTTTGGAAGGTCTCTTCATTCTCTATTCAAAAATGTTATCGCTTTCAAGTTTATTGCAACAAATTAATATAAAATAAATTGAAATCATGTGGTCACCGAAATTCGGTAAAATACTCAAAACTTATTTCATGTTGAGGTATTATTAATAAGGAAATAAGCAAAAACCATAGCAATGTTCTTTTTAGATGGTATCTTTTAAAAAACTGTAAATAATTTCCGTGGCGTCTTATCAACTTGTTTTGTATGTTACAACATCAGTTGTCAGTATTTTGATTTGAGTTTAAAGTTCGTTAACTTAAAGCTCACAAATGATTAGATTAACGGAAATGCATGAAATAACAGTTTTACAAATGACTGGTTACGAAGATAAAACCCGAACATAACAGAAAGTAGCTCGATTATTTCATGAGGAATTCCCTAATTTACCGCCCATATCTCAAGGAACAATAAGCAAAATAGAGAAGCAGTATCGCGAGCTTGGTCATGTGAGGCAGATAAAAAAAGCAGCCGCCAATGCAATGAGTGATGAACTCAAATTAGATGTGATGCTTGAGTTTGAGGAAAACCCAGATGCATCGAGTAGACAAGCATCCACTACATTTAGTGTTAACCATATATCGACAGTAAACATATCAAAAGAAAATGGAATGCATCCCTATAAAATGAAGAAGAATAACTTATTTTTGTGAGCAAATGATGGACATGTTGGATAACAAAATCATCCAATTAGAAGACGTTACGTTTTCTGATGAGTAAACTTTGTCTCTTGACGGTCAAGCTAATCGGCAAAATTGCCGCTACTGGTCAACGGAAAATCCTCACTGGATGAGAGAAGAACAAACGCAATACCCTCAAAAGATTTATGTTTGGGCAGGGATTGTAGGAAACCATATCACTGGTTCCTTTTTTATTGAGGGCAACTTGAATGGCGATAATTATTTGGCACTACTTCAAAGTAATGTCATTCCAAATTTAGCAAATTCATATCCTGATCCAGGAAACCCTCAGTGAATGCGATATGGTTGCAGAAGGATGGAGCACCACCACATTACCAAGTTAATGTCCGGCAATACCTCGATACAACATTTCCCAGTCGGTGAATAGGGAGGCGAGGATCGATTGAATTGCCAGCGCGATCACCTGATCTTTCATCATTAGATTTCTTTTCATGGATATATTAAATGCAATGTGTACAAAGCTAAACCTTTAGTTTTAAATGACAAAAGAACGAATAACGCTTGCGATTGGGTCGGTCACTTCTGATGTGTTGAATAATATTAGAAGACAGTTTTATTTGGGATTAAGATGTTGCCAAGACGTTCGCGGTGAACATTCTGAACATCTACTTCGTTAACATCCATAGTTCTTATTCGTATTCTACATTTCATTACGTTTTGCATTACTTTTTAGTATTTGAGTGTATTTTATCGAATTTTGGTAACCACATGAGGTCAATTTATTTTATCTTAATTGTTGCAATAAACTAGAAAGCGATAACATTTTTGAATAGAGAATGAAGAGACCTTTCAAACGATATATCACAAACCTAAACTTCCCTTAAAAAAATTGGGGTTATACCTGTCATTCGAAGGGGATTGAAGGTAGGGGTATCATTTTTACGTTGAAGAATGTCAAATTATAATTTTCATATGACCTATTTCGGAATAATTTTAAATATGTTCAGTAACCAAAATAATGAATTTATTCCATTTTGCTTTTACACACTGTATGTTCAGTAAATATTTCTTTAAAATAAAATGAATTCGAAATTGTCGAATGTTTTCGGGTTTATTAGCCGCAGTCTACAGGTTTCTATACCTGACCTTTCGTCCGTTACTGCGCTACTGCGATATATAACGAACCTCAACTGGGATGATTCTGCAACTGTGTTAGGAATCACACGTTTAAAGGTAAGACCTCATTAGTCCTTAGCTCGCACAAGTTTCTTAACTTCTGAGAGTTGTCGTTCGTATGGGGGCGATAGCTGATTAACGGAAAAACAGTTTTTAAACAGATTTTAAACAGATTTTTAAACAGATTCAACCCGACACCGAAATCGAATTCTTCAAAACACATGTGTCGTGAACATAATGCAAAAACACATCACTTTTTTAATCCAAAGGGGACAAATCCCATCGTTACCTCAACTGTCATACTTCTCTCCCCACCCCTTGTTCACTCATACAATTTCATTAGGGAAAGTACTAAGGGTGCTTCTGACAATATCTCTAGACTGACAATATCTCTAGACTGACAGTATCTCTAGACAATAAAATAGCAAAAAAAATGTTTGAAAAATATTGAATTTCTCTATTTGTTTAAAACAATTTAATAAACAAATTACGTAAAAAATTCATAACCTATGTTAATAACTGCCATTGTTTAATGTGGAAACAGACATAGCTAAATATCAATCGAAAAAAAAAATTATCAACAATTTTTATATATTTCATTTTGCAATAGTTATAAAAAATAATAATTAACAAATTAATGAATTTTTATGAACTTTTATCGCAGGATCGTATGAAGTATATATATCAAAAGGGCTCCACGAAGTTTAAAATTTATAGGCCAATTATTTATACCTTTTATCCCATTATTTATGCCAACGGAGATTGGGAAAAAATTTGTTAGTTAACAATTGAATAACTTTTTGAAAAATGGTGATAAAACTTTTTTTTCTACGGGACTCGATTCATTCAAGTGTTAAGAAGATACTAGATTTTTTCCAAATTTTTAAAATGACATTTTATGTTATAAAAAAATTATTTCTTTTGATAAACTCTCTTTAGCGGCAGCGCGCGCATGCCGTAACAGCCGCGCGGAACCCTATTTTCAACGTCAAATTAAAATTATAAATAATGGAGATAGAGTTTCGGGAGTCGGGACTTTTTTATCGGAAATTTCCTAATCTTTGACGAACTCTTTTCAAAATCGTCTAAATATTAATATTTTTTGAGTTATTAACGAAAAACTAAATACCATTTTTTTAATCTTATTTTGTTAATAACAATTGCAATTTTTCACCTGCACCAAAATCCTTCAACGACATTTTTCTAGAGGTGATTCCGAATCGAATGAGCTATCGCTCATATTTTTAGGACCTTTATCTCTATTTTTCATGTTTTTGAACTTGTTGATTAGACTATGAACGTTTACTAATGATCTGCATCAGCCACGAGCTTGACCAACGCTGCACATTTTTAAGCGGTCGACCGATGATGCGCGAATATGTGAACGACACATTTATTCAATGGCTAAGACATATCGTCAGAACTGATTATCGGCCCTTTGTGAAATGGGTGTAAATAAAAAGGTTGAAATGTCGAGTTAAAAGCAATTACTTATTCTCACTTACATGAAATTAATAGTACTTGTAACAGATACAGCATCACCTTCGGGAGACAAAACTGAAATATGTGAAGTTCCATGATCCTCTTGGAAATCCGTATTGGCACCGTAATACTGAGGATTTTGTGAAGTACTATTGTCATGAATGAATCTCCTGATTCTTTCAGCATATTCTTTCGATGTCAAATTTGCCAACAGCTGAAACACAAAGTTGAGCCAAACCAAATTCTCGTGAAATGTATTAAATACTTACAGCACTGAAATCCACAAAATCAGGGTCTCCAAATTCTGTTCTCTTTCCGTAACCAAATTTGAAACTTTCAACAATTCTCTGGTTTGTAGTGATCGAATTAGGTTCCTTCAGATTGATGAAGTTACTCAGAATGTTCAAAATAAAGGCTAAGATAACCCCACTTCCTGGTAAAGGTGATGCATACAATGTATGATTATTTGTAAGTGCAGCTTGTACAGGTTCCTGCCATTGGGGCCTAAAAAAATTCATTGACATATTTGTGAATGCTTCAATGAAAAAGTGATTAACAGGAAGAATTGGTGATTTGTGAAAGAACCCCTATAGTTTGAATAAGTCATTACTAGTTATCAAAAAATGAAGTGGTCAATGGGAATCAATTTTCAAATTGGATGTAAATTTGTCGACAAACTTGAATGTAGTAATATATTAGAAAATAAAAATATAAAATACATTTGTTTGTCGTCTTTTGTTACAATAGAGAAATGTAAATCTAAGAGTATTAATTAGGTTAATATAGACATTTATCTAACAGGAAGACGTTAATTTTATTTTTGCAAATTGTATGATTGTTTGTCTTGTGTTAAAAAGTGATATCCACCAGCACGGATGAATGTATTTCTGTTTTCAAAAACATACAGGCACCTTTCATAAACATACAAAGACACAACAGTTTAAATTTCATATTTTTTAAAATATTGACGGCTAGTTCTCCTTTTTGAGAGACCAAGAATACATCTTACTACCCTTTTTGCGATTTTATTATTTCCGGAGTGGAAGTAGAATTTTCCCACACACATAACATATCGCAGTATTGAGTCGACCTGAGCGTAGTATGAAGTTATCTTTTGACCTACATTCAACCTCAACACTTAAAAATTAAACATTTTTTTTTGTTCTATCTGAGCCTTTTCAAGATAAACGTTAATTACTATTTCTGCTTTTTGCTTGTTATGAAAACATATAATATTGGTTTTTGTTGGATTAACAAGTAGTAAGTTTTGAAGAAACTACTAATCCATTGTAGAAACTACCCTATCATGTTTGTTTTGCAAGTCTATTTCCAGTCTATCTGATATAATTGCAGATGTGTCATCGGCATATTGCATAATGAGAGCGTCAGATGTTGATAAACCTATTTCATTTACATACAGAGAGAATAACACAGGACTCAAAATAGAACCGTGTGATATTACTGTTTTCATTCTTTCCCCCACCAATTCAGACTGACAAACTGTTTTCGATCAGTCAGAAATGATGAGGGCCAGTCCAATGTTGTTCCCCTGATACCATATTCCTCTAATTTCTTCAACAATATATCGTGCTTGACGCAGTCAAATGCTCTGCTGAGATCAGAAAATAATGCCACAGATCATTCTCCCGCATCAACACACGATAACGACTTTACATAAAATTCATTTGAAGCCGTAACCGTCGAAAAAAACATTTCAGAATCCCTGCTGATTAGGAGGATGTATTGTTGGTGATTGAAAACGTATTGTTAGTGATCTACTTGACCGTTAAAAATGTACTGCCAGTTTTATACTCAAAAAATCATGTTGGAAAAACTTAGTAAAAAACTGAAGATCATTTTGAAATGTATTAGTCACATAAGAACCTACGAATCCTAATCGTCGGATATATTGTTCTCTCAATTGGAAATAATAAACAATGATATCTGCAGATGACATTTTTATTGATTTGAAAATCAAAAATCTTTTCAAAACATACGACGTAATTACTACTATTCCAGATATAGGTTTGCTAGCAGTTGTCTAAGTTAGTCAATTACCTGCTTTGACAAAAAACGTTTAACTTTTGCTAATGTATCAACTACGAAGTTAAAAATCAACTGTGAGGAAGTATGAGTTTGGGTATTATTTTGCCTCTATTCTCAACCTTGGGACATGTGCCAACTAATTCTTCTAACAATGACGATCACAGTATTTTCTATACTTGGACATACATCAAACTCGCAGAATAAGAGTTGAAACAAAATACGAGAATACCCGAATCATTCCACTTCCATCCACAGACGCTCTTGATGTGCATACCTGCCTTTCACATGTAATGATTAATTTTTTGTTCGGTCACCCTTTTCATGAAATATATGATGAAATTGGCCGATACTTGATGAGAATCCATAACTAACGTATTCAAAAAACACTTCATTCTATAAAGTGTTTTTTGATAACTTTTCATGAAACTCTTGCGCTGAAGAAATTTTTTCCTCATATGACCTCCAGGTTAGGTTAGATCTAAAGTGAGTGGGTCTATTCGACCCTCCACCGCAACCCGCAAGGGTTTATTGTGGCTCACACCTATTCACACTCGGCCAAATGAACCCAGCTTCTTAACGAAGTCGATTAGTTTGTATGGTGCGTGATCTTTCAGGTCAGATGGTAAGAGTACGGATCTGCCGAACTCTAAGAACCTGATTCGGTTCCCAGCGGGGCAGGCACAAAGTATATGCTCTGCTGTTTCATCATTTTCCAAAGAGAGGCGACACACACTGTCTTCCGACAGGCCAAGTCTCTGCATAAGATGATTCAAATGACAGTGACCAATACGAAGGCCTATTAGACATCGTAGTTCATCCATACTGCACTCCAACATCTGTTTGGTATCAAACTTCGAAGGGTGGATAAACGCCTTGGAGTGAGCCAATCCTGGAAGATTCTGCTAGAAGTTCATAAACCTTCTCGTCATCCAGGTGTTCAACCTTTGTTTGACAAAGCCCAATGCGATGCTAATGACAGGTTCTGGTCCGATGAAGCTGCTTGCAGCACCCTCCTTTGCAAGAGAGTTAGCAGTTTCATTACCTTCCAGGCCAGTATTGCCAGGAATCCAGACCAGAGACAATCTGTTGAGTCTTCCTATCGAGGAGAGTCGTTTTTGACAATTTGCTACCAATTTAGACGTTGCTCGGTAGGAGCCAAGAGCTTCCAACGCCACTTGACTGTCCGAGAATATTTTTATTGACTTGTGTGTGAGGATGGATTTATCCAATCTCTCCGCACACAATTCAATAGCGTAAATTTCCGCTTGAAATACAGTCGCATAACTTTCTAGGCAGGTAGATATATCTGTCCTGGGTCTGCGACTAAAAACACCTGCACCAGAACTGGAAGGCGTTTTTGATCCATCTGTGAACCAACAACTATCTGCTCTTAATATTTCCCGGAGGATCCAGTCCTCCTCCGGGAGTTCGAGAAGAACTTGCAAGCGTATCTCTTGCCTCATTCCCATTTCGATTTTCGCAGTGATCAATGAATATCAAAATGAGTGAACACGCCGTTCAAAAAAAAACCGCTGAGACCCCCCATCGAGAATCGAGAAGAAGAAAGAGGTCATTACGAAACACAAATAGGCACATTCCCTATTATTCTATATGAAGCATATTTGTTATTATTAATCGACCTATGAATGGATATGAGTTATTTCATATTCATTCAGAGGTGTTCATTCTTTGATCAACCAAGTGAACTCCACCTTTGTCAGAATTAGATGAAAATGATAGAAAAAAACAATCTCGTAGTGCTCTTATGCTTTCGGAAACTACATGCTAGCAGAAAAATGAAATACTGAGTGGTTTATTTTTTGTTCAAATGGCACTCAGATCCAAATATAACTAGGAGTCTAAATGTATCAGATAATGAATGTATTAATTTTCTGTTTAAAGCTGTTGATAAGTGATGGATTCTAAATGTATTTTCAAGTTATCCCATCTTCGAAAGATCTACAGAGTTAAACGTCAAAATACAAGAAAAGTGTTTTAATCACTTCACTTTCTGAGTACTAATTTTTACTCTTACTCACAAAGAATAAGATGGAGGATTTTATATTAACTTTCAATAGCACATTCTCGAATTCTATGTTCACGACGAAAAATAATAGAATATAGAGAATAAAAAATAAGAGAAAAAACACCAGTACTGTCAAATATATTCCTGGCAGCAAATAACAAAATTTGCTTGAATATATTTTCTGTACGTGACACTAGATTTTTGGATGCCTTTGAAAGTCTAAAAAAGCAAAGTGTTACATAAAACTATGAACATTGCCAAACATCCAGTTCTAAATCGCACGTAAGGTAGTCGAATCCTCATTACTTTGATGTAGATGCAATAGAACGTTTATGCTACAATATTTAATCACTGAACTTTTGTGGGGAGAGTTCAGTCACAGCAGAATAAACAAAAATTATAGAGGCTTATCGCGCACTGAAAACAAAGAACCATTCCTAAAAACTGTAACCACTGAGAATATAGTCAAATAAGTAAAGCCTCCAAGTAGGACTATGAAATCACTGATATATGTTGACAAGTAAATGGAGCAATTGGATTCATCCTATTAAAAATAAATAAATAAAATTAAAGTTCACTAGATTAGTGATTCAGTAATTTTTCTGAAAAAAAGGTTGGTTGGTAACAGTACCAATTAAAAAAAACAATTGTTTTCTCGTCGGCGTTTCGAATTTAATTTAATTCTTCTTCAGGGCTCTGTAACTATAAATTTTCATAAACATACCTTCGACAAAACTTGTACGATTATTATCGTTCCAATTTCACAAGAAATAATGAGTTCTTAATTAAATTACTCAACGAAAAGTAGTTTTTTCGTGTTGAGAATATCACTATTTTAAAAACCACCAGACATGTCAGATACTTATTTTTTTTTAATTGAAAACATTGCAAACAACCAAAATTTTCGAGACAACACCAACACAAAACGACATGAAACAAACGAATGGCTTTATCTGTAATTCTGATAAGATGGTGTCTGTTTTTTAATCATTGGCAGAAAGAAAAAAAATAAAAAAGAGTAAATTTTTCCGTTATTTTTCTTATCGAATTAAAATATGCAGTATTAAGGCCATAGACATCTCCTCTAGTGATAACACTATCGCATTTGAGGATATGTGTCATTTCGCTCAAGAATCTTTTGGATAAATATGGTTGAACATCTAGAACAGTTGGATGATCAAAATCAAAAATGTGTCCATATTCTTTTTCATGTTCAACGAGAGCTGTAGGATTTTTTATATTCAGTTTTTCGAAGTCTCTCATGTGTTCTGAAACTCGTGTTTTAAGATACCATACAACATAGCCTTTGTGACAGCTTCCACAGTTCAATTTGTACACTATATTGGATTGTATTTCTTGTGATGTTTTTGTTTTCTTTTGAAGAAAAATGCTTTCTAACTGTATTTTCATTTGGAAAGGCCACTTTGATTTGTTTGGTACTGAGTAGCATTCCAAGTTTATCAGATATATTTTCTACAAATGGAATTTTGTGACATTTGGGTTTAACCCCTGTATTTTGGGAGAAGAAACTTTTTTCTTCAAACAATTGTTTTTTTAAGAAAAAAATGATCCTGTTACCCAACCTTTTTTCAATAATGTTAGAGTTAATAAATTATTATACTTCAGCACTAATGATGTCAACTTGAAGGTCTGGGGTTACTGGATGATATTCAGTAATGAAAGTTGTTATTACATGAATAATAATAATAATATCAAACATATAAAAAAAATCCACAAGGAATTCAAAAGTCGATTGCTTTCCGCTTGGCTTATAGATTACATATACATCAAACTCATCGAACGCAAATGGTCAAATCATTATTGGTAGAAAATATAAGATTGTCTTTGAAGAATAATAAGCAAAGTTAGTTACTCACTGATAGCTTCGCATATCCTCTTCTGTCATTATACCACCTTTATTTTTAATATCTGTTATAAAATCTCTGGTCAGGGATCCGTTATTAAGGGCATCTCCACCTTCTTTCGCTATGGTTTCTAATGTCCTTGCTAGTTTCAGTCTTTTGTAATACTGGCCTTCTAGGTAGGTATCATTGGTTTCGGGGTTGAAGAATATTTCCCTGAAAAGGACGGATACAAAAAAATGTACATTCAAGTATCTACTGCATAGATAACTTTGACTTTTTATGAACCTGCATATTGGCTGAGACGACATAACACGTGTTTTGTCGTCTCAGCGCTTGGCGCTGTTCTGATCGAGTTCGACCATTTGGCAACAGTGTGCAAAAGCCTTGCGTCAGATTCGTTTTGACGGCAGTAGGCTAGTCAGTCGATTTTTGCCTCATAAAAAATTGTATGAACTGATTAGAAGTTGCCTCCTTATTGACTGCTATTTGAAATTAAGGTAAGTCCCAAAACGTAAATGTTCTTTGATGGCTTAATTATGCTGCCGTTGAAACAAGCTACTAAAATATAGGTTAGGAAAAGGATCTTTCTGTATTTGTGTCTGAGATGGCATACTATTCGTGCCGACGAGATGGCAGGTTATGCGTTTTCATACAAGTATGCATGCCATCTCATACAATCATATTTATTTTGTTAATTTGATGGCTTCTTTCCAAAGGTTAAGACGTCGAGCTGCTAACCCAAAGGGTGCCAGCAAAGGTTATTTGGGAGGGATGTCAACTTTTGATATAGGAAAACTAGCAACTAGCAGATAGTAGAGGCAAAAAATATCCCACATAGATATTCATGGGAGAAACAAATGGCTGGCTGGGACTGGCTTAGAGGATTCAGGCAACGAAATCCGTCTATATCGCTCAGAACACCAGAATCAACTTCTGCTGCTCGTGACCGTTCCTTCAACAAAGTCCAAATTGGAAATTATTTTCAACGTTTATCAGATGTCATTCATTAGTACTCGTTTGAACCAGGAGATATTTGGAATGTCGATGAATCTGAGTTGTCAACTGTTCCTTCTAAAAATGTTAAAATCTTTGCGTCTGATGAAAGGCGAAAACAGGTGGGTGTTCTGAGTAGTGCCGAAATGGAGAAAAATATAACAGTAGTAGGCTGTATGAATGCCACTGGGATCGTTTGTGCCGCCCTCTTTTATTTACCTCCGTAAAAATATGAAAAACGAGTTATTGGGTCATGCGCCACTTGGAGCGATTGGACTAACAAGAGAAAGGCTGGATGAATACCGACGTATTTTTGAAATGAATTAAACATTTCATAAAATTAGCTGAATCAACAGTGGAAAAGAGGGTGTTGTTACTCGTCGATGGTCAGTCCAGCCACGAGAGTTTGGAAGTTGTATCATACGCAAAATAAAATGGCATAGTGCTGTTTTGCTTCCCGCCACACTGTACCCATCGGGTGCGGCCTCTGGACGTGAGTTTTTATTCGGCTCTTCGTTCGCACTATAATGAAGAGCTTACCACATGAAGAATCACCCAGGCCGGACTGTAACACAATTCCAAGTTGCAGAGATTTTTGGCCCAACATATATGAAAGCAGCCACTGTTAAGAAAGCAACAAATGGTTTTTCTTCAACAGGCATTTGCCCCTCTAATGCAAATATCGTTCCAGACTGGATGTTTTGTCCTGCCGATGTTACTGATTCACCTAATGATGAAAGTATTCAGCTAGAACGGACCGAAAAAGTTGTTTTCATTGCTCCAGGACCATCAAGTGTAATGAGTAATAAGGGTGATTTTGATGAAAATAGAGGAGTTGGAAGTATTGCTGATGCAGAAATATCACCATTACCTAAAGCGTCAGCGTCACAGAGAAGACCTGTTGATAGAAGAAAACGAAAATATGGAGTTATTGGTACTAAACCAGATATCAACTTAGCCAAGCAGCTAGTTGCTGACAAGAGAGCGCAAGCACTAAGGTAATCCACCCGAGTTGCAAAAAAGGTCTTAATACGTGAAGAAGACTCTAAAAAGGATAGTAGCGATTCGGAGATGTAAAGTCATAATGAGGATGATGTTCCATGTATATTTTGTAATCAATTATATATCCGTTCCCGTTCAGGAGAAACATGGGTACGATGTCAGACTTCTTTGCAATGGGCCAAGACCGAATGCACTGGCGTATCTAAAGCAACAAAAGTATTTGTTTGGGATATATGCCAACTTTAGTAGGCAGTTTTACACTATGTCATCTCACCAACAATTGTGCTGATGTGATGGCATACGGAGAGTGTTTTTTTTATTTGTATAAAAAAAGTATGAAGTTTTTTGGACTAATAAAGTTATGTTTCAATAAATAAGTGTCTTAAGTGTTCATTTTACTCCTTACCAATTCTGTAACTTCAAGTTGCTACTAGTAATTAAGTATGGAAAAAAATATGTCATCTCAGGCATATCTCCTCTACGTATTTTTTTATTCCTCATAGAATTCTTAAATCGAATATATATCCATTCAATTGAATACAATTGAATAGTAATATACAATTGAATATAATAATTTCCAATACACTGAGAATTTGAACATTGGGAACTACAAATTTTATGGTTTTATGATTGACAAATTTATTATTACAAATGTGTTTCATTGAGTATTGAGTTATATCTAAGCATAACAAGAATTTTCGATTTTTCAACAGGTCAGTCATCATCCCTCGATGATAGCCTTATAAGCGAAACACTTCATATAAAAATGTCTCAAAAACTTTCACAAGGATTCCTTTTAGGTCCTCTTCTATGTCAGGACTTGCCTCGCGAATGTATATGGAGAGCCTTTTTTTGTTCACTGAATCGACCAATGGAAATAAAATCAGCACATCTGTACAATCTAGAGTTGCATTGAAACTCTGTTCAGATCCCAATTTTGGTACTGTGTTTGATATTTCAAACGCCTTTGACCGAGTGCGACATGACAGTTTGCTGGCCAAACTTCGATGTTATGGCTTGTCGGATCATTTTTGTGAAAGGCTCTTCAGCTTCCTGAAAGAATGTTCCCTGCAAGTGGTCGTCGATGGATATCTCTCACCTCAGCACACCTTTGGAGTATTGTTCTCATGTATGTAGCTCTGCCCCCAAACATACCCTGAAAATGCTGAATTCCATCCAGAAAAAAACCATCCACCAAATTGGAGACGCAAACATCACGTGCAACCTCGATAACCTGAAACATCGAAGAAAGGTTGGAGATTTGTCTCTCTTCTGTAGATACTTTCACGGGAAGTGTGTCAGACTGTGGCTGCTCATCATGTCGAGGTTCAACTCAGTACACCTTGATCTTCACTGTTCAAGAACTGTTTCATTTGGAGAACTGCGTTTATGTGGAATAAACTCCGTGAGAACGTTTTTCTGAATGGATTTAATCTCCAGCGATTCAAATCCAATGTAAATCGCTACTTTCGCACAGGTACCGATCTGAGAGCGGCCACTTCAGCATCTTTGGCAACATGGCATGTCGCTGTTGCCACTTTAGCATATTTGGCAACAGCGCCATGCAATGTTACGTCATTGTCAGGTAATAACACTTCGGCCAATAGCAACGCATCAACAAGAGAGGCGGACTATCTGAGTCAACATAAATACAACCTACGAACTATAAATCACCCGTCATCGGTGAATCATCAAAATGAATAAACCTGTGAAGAAGCCAGCCACTCTTGCTGGTGAAACGTTACAGTATGCAGTTCCAAACTACGACGGCCATCAAACCCGAATGAAAATAGTAACTCAAAATCTCGGCCGCGAAAGCCTTAACCATTTTTCATGCAATTGTTTTCAAGGGTAAATTTATAAAAATATTCACAATATCGAGTGAACGTGTCATGTATTTACTTAAAGTAGCCTAATATTTTTAATCAGAAGATAAATCCAAGAAGATAAATGTCTCCGAATCGGATATAATGATGTCTGGTTAGACAATCCCGCTTTCTGCTTCGATAAGTTTATTGGGGGTAAAATGGACTCCAATATTTGGCACAATCATGTCGCTGGAATTGCAAAGGCTGCCTCTCAAAAGCTTAAAACACTGTTCCGAACCAGAAAACTGTACACACCTCAACAATTAACCTCAGCACACCTTTGGAGTATTGTTCTCATGTATGGAGCTCTGCCCCCAAACATACCCTGAAAATGCTGGATTCTATCCAGAAAAAAGCGATCCGCCTAAGAGCTAACTAAGAGATGTGTTGAATATGAAATTTTAGTAATGATGGAAAATATCTCTTTTTGGATTCCTTTCTTGAGTAAAAACAATAAGGATTATCAGAGGTGAATACAATAATGAGTAGAAAGAACAACATAACATTAAATGCGTACAGTGTCAAAACTTAAACTAGTAAATGTTACAAGTTCGGACCATTGTCAACAATTTCAAACTCTATGAAAGAGCAAATGAAATAAAAATTATTTAAATGTCGAAAATTATTAAACATAATCTGATCAAAATATTCGGTTGAGTTACTCAAAACAGAGAAAACAAATCAGTAAGACATGGAATTGAAATGTAATGTAATGGATCAAACAATACGTGAAATGTAAATCATATTCAACCAATGAAAAATGGAACTATGAGAAAAATGCACAAAATTGAAAAAAATCGAAGAAAAAACTGAGATATTCACAATTCAAACGTAGCTAGGTTTCACGTTCTTTAGCTGCACCTGCGACTGAAGCAAACCCCACAACAAAGTCAAACGGGGTCAAATCGGGCGATCTCGGTGGCCAGTTCACATAACCTCCACGTAAAATGACCATACCTCCAATATTGAAGCTATATGTCGTTGGTGTCCTGGTCATCCAATTCAGGCCGGAAGAAGTTGTTAATCATCGACCGCCGTTGGCAGTGATAGCCTGGCCAACGTCGTTCTAAAAGAAATCTGGACCGATGAAGTCGCCAGCCACAAATCCACACCAAACAGTGACTTTTTTGGGATGCATTGAACGCTCTTCGCGTTCATGTGGATTGGTATCGTCTCAAATTCGACTATTTTGTTTGTTCACATACCCATTCATCAAGAAATGGGCATCATCGCTGAAAATGATTTTTCGAATAAATGTAGGGTCAATTGCCAACTGCTCCAGAGCCCATTCATCGTCGTTGTCTATGGTCGTTTACCTACAGTTCCTGGGTCAGTTGAATATTTTACGGGTGCAGGACCAAGTCACGACGCAAAATTCGACAAGTTGTGGTCTGCGAAAGGCTGAGGTCTTGTGAGCGACGCGAAATCGACTGCTTCAGATTCTTCTGCACACTCTCACAGACAGCGACCATTTTTTTGCAAATCTTGCGTTTTGTTACTGAACTAGTGAACTCAAACACCACATTGCGAATAATCCTCTCGATTACGGCGACAGCATAATGGGCGAAACGCGCGGTACGTTACCCGAACGGAACACCCATTTAAAATCTGTTTTGAATCTGTTTTTAAAATCTGTTTTTCCGTTAATCAGATGTTGCCCCCATACGAACGACAACTCTCAGAAGTTGAGAAACTTGTGCGAGCTAATGACTAACGAGGTCTTACCTTTTAACGTGTGATTGTCAACATATTTATCATTTACACTTACTTTATTTACATTTATTGGTGAATAATATATCCGTCCATGGTGATTTGGCAAAACCTACTGAATAATGATTTGACAACTGATTTGACAAAAGTATCTTCAAAAAGATTGCCGTTATCAATTGTCAAAGTTCGGGACTCTCTGTGGAAGACCCTATACAGTAGCATAGAAAATCAATATTACCAATGATACAAATGGAAATAATACTAAAACGGAATGTAATTTCAATATTTTCTTTTATCGCAAATAATCGAAATATTTATTTTATATTGAACTTTGTTCATTTGCTACAAATGGTGTGTCCCAAATATATATTTGCCAGTAAAAAATAATTCTCTTATACAGATAGTTTTGAGAAAATTCTGGAAGAGATGTTGTAAAGAAGGCCCATGATTTTGACCACCTCAGGATCATTTTTCGGGATCTTTGATGAAAATAAAGTCTATGTGTATCCTGTAATCACCAAGATTGATTGTTATTTTTGTTAAATAGAGAGGTATTTTTGAGAATCGTTATACGAAAATAGAAATTATCATCAAATAACTCATGTCCTAAATTTTCAAATTCAGTAGATATTAGCATTACGCTTTTTAACTAGGGGGATTTTCCAATATACGACAGTAAATACCTCAATAGACAAAATAAATGAAATAAATAAATAAATGAAATGAAAAAACATTAAACACCGAATTCAATTTGGAATGAAAAAAAAGTAATATTTTACCTCAAAACGGGATCTTTATACAATAAGGCCTTCCTCATTTTAAAACGTGAGGCTAATACTTTTGTTACGTAAATACCGTTCCGGCATAAGTCTATTGTGGGTTGTACAAGATCTCTCCAGGGCAATCCTCCTCCAAACCTCTGATAGAGATGCCAATATCCACGAAGCTCTCCTGGAACTGCAACTGACCGACCCCCTGAAATTGAAAAAAAAACAGTTTGGTTATTACCGGTAATTGTTGTGTAATATAATGGTAATATTTTTTACGTATTCAAAGAACACTATTATGTGAGATTTCCACTGGACAGTTCACAAAACCGCTTTACAGAGGTATCTTGAGGCGTGACAATACTGACTGAACAAGCTCTATTCCGTGCGCGTTTATAGTAATTTGAATTCTAATGACTATTACTACCTAACAATCTTCTACGTGATAAGTTCATTACATGAAATATTCTTTCTAGGAACAACTCATTAAGCTGGAGAATATAGAAGTCATACTTAACTACCCTAATCACCAAGTTTCTCATTGTAAAGTAAATTCAATGAAGGGGAACAATTCAAATATATTTGATCATTGAGCATCAATCCCAAATTCTTATATCTATTGATTTCTAAGCATTCCAAAAAGTTGAGTTTTCAACCTTTATATTTCTAATGCGATACGTCATAATCGTGATTGAACTCGTGCCCTACTGCCAAAAGATGGTTTGCAAATGTTGAATTGGTTTTTCCATTGAAAAACTACTTCTATGCTCTTTTATTCTTCTAAAGAAAGTTCTTTCGGTTAGGCCAATATAAAAATTAGGACAAAAACCACAAGTCTACTTATATACTCCCGATCTATCCGAAATGAGGATTCATCTTTATTGTTTTAATAAATTTACTCAAATTATCATTTGTTCTGTAAGCTTCGTCCAATCCTTTGTTTTTTTATAAAACGAGCGATATTATTAGCAGAATCACCAAAATAAGTTGAAGTCACATGATGTTTTCTATCGTTCTCTGAAACTGGATATATCTGGTTGAGAACTCGTTTTTGCAATTATTCGGAAAGAATTGAATCAATAATAGCCACCTCGTAACTCTTGTTGACAGCAATTTGTTTGTTAAAATCAGTTCTCTTTGAAAATTGCTTGCTGAAAGTGGAATATTCAATAGTCTGTGAACCATTTTATCGAATACTGCTACTTTATGTTGATATGTCAAGTAGAAATCTCACATCAAAGTGTTTTTATTAAATACGTTATAATACCAGCGTGGTCCAAACAGAACTGGCTGGTATCTCAATCGCCACAAAAGAAATAACCAAGAAAGGAATTTCTGGCAAAAACATAACAATCTGCACTGACAGCAGACAATCACTATTAGCCTTGAACAGACAGCGTGTTACCTCAGGGCTAGTACTAGAGTGCCACCAAGATTTAGCCAAAGCCTCGGTAGATAATAACATTATCCTAAGGTGGGTTGAAGGACACGACTGGAGTGAAGGTAATCGAATTGCCGACTCTTTAGCCAAGGACTAAGAATTTTAGGACCCAGTAGCACTCACGGCCTGATGACTTCGACAATTGCGGAACTAGTCAAATGTTACACCCATGCTCAATCCTTAAAGAGATGGGATGGAATCAAAGGATATAATCTGGCGATGACCAGGAAAAATATACGCCTTACGGTAGGATTTCTGACTGACCACTGTCAGCTAAGGAAACAACTACATAATATGAGGCTAGCGGACACACCGCTATACAGGATGTGTGAACAGGAAGATGAGACTGTCAGGCATGTCCTGTGCGAGTGCCCGGAGTTATCGTCAATAAGAGAGTGTGTGTTCGGCGAGGCTTGGCCTACACCTGCCGATATAAAGGAGATGTCTCCCAGCGACCTGTCCACCTTCCTGGAAAGAACAGGATGGACGATGACCTAGGAGGACAACTCCTCGGGAGTTGGTCACATGTGTCCTAAGTGCGTGGGCTTACACTCACCCTCCCTACTCTACAGATACAAAGAAATACGTTATAATGGATTTTAATCAAATATGGGTCAGTTCTATCACATTTTTGTTTTTTTTTTCAGAATTTCGACATTCAAATCAAATCAATAATTGAATATCATTGGTATTGAAACAGTTCTTTCCAATACATGAATTTTCTAAAATCGTTCACAAAAATATTTAAAAAAATGGTCACATGCATTGATCGAATTACATTTCAAAATTACCATTTGGTTATGCGATTTCCAACCGCCTACCACCATCATCCTGAAGGCGTGTCAACCTTAACTCAAAAAGTTCAAATAGCAAACTACCTTTAAAGATAACTCGATTGATACATTTTTATACTGAATACAACAAAAAAGTTTGTTGAATTCAACTGACGAATGAAAGAGATGTCACTGAAATGAATCTAAGTTATATGAATTTGAAAATAATATTGTGGGGAACTATTGAATTTAATGTTCAAATTTCTGTACATTAATAGCACAGGCACCAGTCTGAGAGCGCCTCAAGGATTTTCTTGTAGTGCTTGTGTTTTGTCCTTGAAAAAAGCAAAATAATTCCCTAATCTATATCTGGGGAGATTCCCTATTTTAACCACTCAATGTTTTCAGGTCTTCAATTTTATATAACCTCAGGAAAATAATTCGTTGGGGTTTTATCTGATTATACTGCTGGTCATGTAATAAGTCCCCATGGACATGTATAACTTGGACTTGTGTGCAACCAAATTCTGAATCGGATCTTCAGGATCTTCTACATTTGGAAACATTACAATTTACAATGAGCGAAAAATAAATCAATTCGATAAACTGATGGATGTAGCCGGTACTACGTGGTAGAAGATCATCATGAAAAATGATAATTAAAACTTCTATATTAACTAACGTTAATGCAATTTCGTCCTCCAATATTTTCATATGAATATAATCAATTGAAGTAATCAAAAATGTACTCCCTTATATAACTATACCACCTTCGGTAATAACAGACAGTCATCAATGACTTCATTACCTGAATTTTATTCACGTGTGGCAATATGAGTTAGGTTAGGTTAGGTCCAAAGTGAGTGGGTCTATTCGACTCTCCACCGCAACCCGCAAGGGTTTATTGTGGCTCACACCTATTCACACTCGATCAAATAAACCCAGCTTCTTAACGAAGCCGATTAGTTTGTATGGTGAGTGGTCAGATGGTAAGAGTACGGCTCTGCCGAACTCTAAAAACCTGATTCGGTCCCCAGCCGGGTAGGCCCAAATTATGTGCTCTGCTGTTTCATAATTTTCCAAACAGAGGCGACACACACTGTCTTCCGACACTCTGAGTCTCTGCATATGATGATTCAAATGACAGTGACCTGTAAGAAGGCCTATTAGACATCGTAGTTCATCCCTACTATAGTCCAACAACTGTTTGATATCAAGCTACGAAGGATGAATAAACGCCTTGGAGTGAGCCAATCCTAGAAGATTCTGCCAGAAGTCCATAAACCTTCCTTTGCAAGGAAACCAGCAGCAATATGGGTATCCTAAAATAGATCCAGCGAGTAGACCAGGACAATTGGTTTATTTAGTAGGTTACATCTGCAATGCTTATGCTTATGAATTTCTAAGAATTCCAAATAATTGAGTTTTCAACCCTTGCCCGCATAGTGCAAAATTTCCAGATCGTTTACATTCGGGAACTTATGGTTGCATTCATTTGGAAGAAAGTTCAGGTACTGTTTCAGTATTCAGTCCCTCATATTGAACTTTTGAAAACATTGTTGCCTCGTCAAAAAAATCAATGTTTCCAATTGAATGAAGATTTATAGAAAACCCAGATGAACCTCGCGCGCAGCGACCCCCAGGAAAATTGAATATGAATTTTCCTGTACCATTAAGAGAAATTTCGATAATTTATTTTTATCAAAAGCAGGCAATGCGACTCACCGTAGACTCGATATTGAAGGACAATTTGGGAGTTTCATTAAACAATATATAAAATTCACAGACCACCTACTCCTCACTGAAATTTCGAAAAAAATAATATCACTGTTACAATTGTTTCTACTATACTGCTGTGGCAACTTCAAAAAGTCACCACCAACCAGGAGACACTCTCCTGATCCTCTCAGATAGCCATCCAGGCCAGAATGTGCAGCTGTGAAATCGTGGCTCATCTTTTGGAATACCCTCTTTGGCAGCAATAATGGCATGCCGAAGAGATTGGGATTGTCTGATGTTCAAGTCAGCTAACAATGTAGATTCAACCATAGACGGCTTATACTCGCCAGCTCTTGAGTATAGGATGAGTCACTTCCTGGATGCTCTACCTAGCCTTTTAGATTTGTTAACAGGATCAAGAGTTGATGAACTGATAAGCTCCTGCTCTCGATTAGATGTTACACAGCCTCTGTAGGTGCACCCCTCAAGAGAGTAATAGTGGGGGTTAAGAATTACATGCCCAAATGGGAACTTGAAAATAATAATCAGCTAATCCAAACACTTTTTCTAACAAAATTTCGCAACGATTTTATAGAATGTAACCCTACTTTTGGAAAGCACTGTCTACGTGAGAATAATGGAATCAATTTCACTGAATACAAAATCACTACACAATTTAAATGGCGGGTTGCCTGTCCTTGTTCATCTTTCACTGCCTGAACCACTGTGCTTGCTGTTTTTGGCGAGAGCATTGGCTTGGGATGTGGGAGTTGAGCAAACCGGCCATCGGATGCCTGCTTCCCGTAGCCCCGCTGGATACGGGAATGACAGAATCACTTGTGGTTCTGTTATTCCCTAACTGAATGGCATCCCATTAAACTTAAAAATTATTTCTGACGTTTGCGCTCAAGTGATGATTTACCAAAACCACAGGCGAAAAAGCCCTGCATCGTCAGGTGTAGCTGACGTGCAAAAACCCTCATATAGGAAGGTTGTCGCGGGTATCAAGGTGGTAATCACCTTGATACAAGGTGGATGCACCTTGACTATCCGACTACCTCATTAACTATGAAACAGCAGAGCATATACTTTGTGCCTGCCCAGGTTTTTAGAGTTCGGCAGAGCCGTACTCTTACCATCTGACCTAAAAAACCACTAAACATACAAAGTAACAGGCTTCGTTAAGAAGCTGGGTTTATTTGGTCTAGAGTGAATAGGTGTGAGCCACAATAAACCCTTGCGGGTTGCGGTGGAAGGTCGAATAGACCCACTCACTTTGAACCTAACCTAACCTAACCTAACACAATTTAAATTACATCTTCGTCAGGAGTTGGTTATATTTTGAAAACTAATAGCTTACCTCTGAGTGAAGCTTCGGCTGGCTGTCCAACAAACATAGTTTCCGTGGCTGCCGCTGGTGCTGCTTCTCGGGCATTTAAGGCCCACACCTCTCCTGTGGATTTATTATAGAGAGTTAGCAGAAATCCTCCTCCTAATCCCATACATTCCGGCATAGCTACACCTTCGCAAAATAATGCTGCAATGGCTGCGTCAACTGCATTACCTCCTTTTTTCATAATAGAGCTTGAAACGGAAAGAATAAATGTAGTGGACGTCAATTCATCGGTTGTAGTTTTGAAACGATCACGTAGTAAGATCAAAATAACGTTTCGGGATGTTGAGTGAAGAAGAAGTAGTACAATTCAATGAGGATCGAAAATGAAAAGACTTCCTCGAATAGTTTAACGTATCCAAGTAACACTTGATTGGGAGATTTCCACTGAATAGTTAACAAAACCATAACAGATGTTTTTTCAACATACAACAGCAGTAGAAGAAGCCTGAAGTAGCTATTTTATGGTGAAACACTTGTTACGATTTTGGTAAGTGTAAAGATAAGTATTGAAAAGTAACTTTTTAAGTAATTTGGATGAATAAAGATTTTTTATCAATACAATATATAGTATTTTCAAATTTTCATCAATAAGTGAGAGATGAACTATTTTGACTACTCTATTTTTCGGAAATTAAAATGTACAAGTTTTCTCATATTCCATTAGTTTTACATTCTAAATCATTCCACCAGTAAGTTTTCACCATTTATATTATATTTTAATCATTTGACTATAAGTTTTTCTATATTGCAGTTTTGATAAAGACAATAAACATTGTTGAAAGGTCGTTAGAAAAAAAAATTTTTTTTCTTCGTATACATACATAATACACTGTGTCCAAGATAAGAATGAACACCATGGGAATATCGAAAACGGTAAGGGCCGGTTTCACAATGTCTGGTCACCTAATGGTTAGAACGAATCCATTGGTTAACGATTAAAATGTGTTTCACCAACGGTGGTCAAGCATTTACCTGAAGTAGACCAAAGGTCAACTTTACTACAACCTAATCTACTGGTTAAGAACTGACCAAAAGAAAATAACCCTACTTTTCTATTTGGTATGTCAATTCATCTGTATCATTCGATTTTCAAGAAGGAGTTGTACGACATAAATGCATTTAGTGACGATGAAGAAGTGGTACGGCGGTCAAAAGTAATTAGATCTAGAACAAATTTCTTTGAAGAATATGATCAAAAGGACTTTTTTGATTGGTTCCGAATAACCCGGAGAACAACGGAGCTTATTGTAGAAGATATTAGAGACCTAATTGAGCATCCCATAGAAAGGTTTGTTTCAAAACTCCATTATATTATAAGTATAACTCATATATGTAATTTTTTTCCATAGAAATGACTGTTTATCAGCAAGTGATCAAGTTCTTCTGGCTTTGAATTTTTATGGTGATGGTTCGTTCCTGAGAACAACATCTGAGTTATCTGGTGTAAGTAAATCTACAGCCTGCAGAGTTGTTATAAAAGTGAGTGCGGCACTTGCATCGTTAGGAGTACAATATATATCAATGCCAGAAAATGAAGAAATTCCCATTTTACGGCAATCATTCTATGATTTAGCTAGATTCCCAATGTGCATTGGAGCAATTGATGGAACTCATGTAAGAATACAATCACCTGGAGGAGACAATGCAGAAATATTTCGTAACCGTCAACAGTTCTTTTCATTGAATGTCCAAACTGTTGCTGATGCAGATTTGAAAATCAGGAATATTGTTGCTAGATGGCCTGGATCATCTCATGACTCGCACATTTTCAAAAATTCTAGATTATACCAATCATTTGAGAATGGATTATATGATGACTCTGTTACGTCGGGGGATAGTGCTTAAGCTTTGAAGCCGTACCTTATAACCCCCCCTTCAAGAAGTGAGAACCGAAGCAGAGGCCTTATTCAACGAATCCCAGATCAGAACGCGCAATGTTGTAGAGAGACAAATTGGGGTTTGGAAGCGTAGATTCCCAGCACTTTCTATGGGATTGAGAGTATCTTTAGATACAGTTCAAGCCATAATAGTTGCTACAGCTGTACTTCATAACATTGCATGCGACGAAAATGAACCAGTGCCTGAAATGAATGCTGAACAGGAGGCATTTATTAATCTAGCCGATATCAATGAACCACCAAATATGCAACATGTGCATGTTAATAATAAAAATAATATAGTTAGGAATACTTTGATCAATTATTTTGCTAACTTGTAATGTTCTGTAAGTAAACTTCAAACATTTTTGAGTATTTTAGTTTTCTCTGAACCCCTTCAAATCCCTAACTTTGTCTTGAAAATATTTCTCGTACTGAATGTTACACACAATGTGTACATTCAAAATAACTAAGAATAACTGTCTGTAACCCTCAGAAATCTTCATGAGACTTTTAGCCAAACGATCTCAAGTAGTGGTGGGCATAATCGAATTAATTGTCGATAGTTAACCAAAATGGAGATGTAAAGAACACTAATGAGCAGACTACAGGTGTATTCAAATGTAGGTATGGCGTTCAAATGATCTTTAAACATGTTCGGGAGATCAAGAACTACCTCTGTCACTTCGACATTTTCGATGTCAGGTTCAGTGGGTTCAGCCAAATTGCCACAGTCATCGTTTATCAGCCCTGACGGCTGGTATTCAACAATATTTTTCACTGCTGTGACAGGTACAGTGTTTTCCACGTTTCCTCTTTTTCTTTCCATGTCACAGTGTTATTTTTTTGCATTCTATTATTGCCTTATATTTATCCACCAGATTTATAAGTAGTTGTTCTTCTTCATAGGTGAAGTTTGAACAGCTAGTGTTTTTTTATGTATCCATTGGAGTTGAATTAGTATCGAAAAGTAAGTTCACTCAACTCTGTAAAATCTGAGAAAAGATAAAAAACTCAACACTCACCACCATTATATGTATTGTGAAACGATTCAGGCTGTAATAGTCACTTAACCAGAGTTTCTCTGGTTAAGTGACTAGAAAGATCACCATAAATTGTGAAACCAGCCCTTTCATAAGTGATACGGGGTCCATTGAATCAGAGAAAAGTAGCGCATTTATGTGCCTAATAATATGCCATTTAGATAGTTTTGATATTCCGAGTAGTTTCAGAGATATCCCAGAAAAACCGAAATTTGAGAATTTCGTTTTTATTTTCTCCTAGCTTTATTTTCAAAGGAAATGAAAAACAAATAGTACTTTGTCGTGGCCACTTTTTAAGGACTACACGATAACGTAAGCAGAATTTTTTGTGGCGTTTCGTCTTTTATAAAACATCATCAACTTTGTATTTTTATATGGGCGGAAACTGAAGTATACCCTGTATACGACTCTATTTTTCATTGTGAATTCAGCAACGTATCACACAATATGATTCCATAACCATTTCTCGTGCAAAATGAAAAGTGATAACTTAACCAGCTTTTCTTCAATTTTAGTTTAGTTTATAAAATGTAATTGTAATGTAATAACAAGGAGCTAATATGTATCATAGGAAATGAACAGAAATTTATAACAAGTGTTTAAATAACACGCCATTATGTTCTAAGCACAAGTTCGCTCCTTTCACAGACGAATTTAAAACTTAAGTTAACATATTCGAAACAATATTGTTAAAAGATGCACAAACCAATTTTAGCAAATCTTCTTCATTTTGAAAATCATGAGAGTACACTTGATTCTTGATATATTCCCAAAAGAAAAAGTCTAGTGGGGTGAGGTCGGGGGACTTTGTAGGCCAAGATGTAACACTCTGAGTACCAATCCACTGTCCTGGGAAGCGACGGTTCAAATAATCACGAACAGTTCTAGGGTTATGTGCTGGAGCACCATCTTGTTAAAACCAACAGTTGTGAGCAACCGCTGACGGCGTCATGGCATTTTCTAGTGTACCATTCACAAAAGCTAGCATCGTCACCTGGTCTGCGTCCATGACAAATCCTAAATTTATATGGATGATATTAATTTTTTCTTAAAATGAAGTGAGCGGTGGATTTGGCTACTCCGGTATTATGTTCAATGGTGCGAGTGGATATCTCAGGATTTTCAACAACGGCCTGTAACACATCACGATGACTTTCTTCATTAGATTGCTTTTGTCGGGAAACCACAGGTTTCTTAAATGATCCGTATTTTTTTAAATTAAGAACTAAACGTCTAAATATTGATTTAACACCTCTGGATACTTATTAAAGTACGCACGTTTGGTATCAACAGACTTTCTTTGGCACAAAATGTAACATGGGAACACATTGAATTTTTCAGTATTCAAAAAGCTGCCGTTTTCCATTTTTAACGCAAATTGGGTAGGTAACGAGATGTAAAAGCAGAAACGGTAATATGCCGAAAATTCTACCAAACAACAGTATTATTATGACAACAGAATATTATGTGTCATTATTATTATGACAACAGAACATTATGTGTCATTATTATTAGGACAACAGAACATTATGTGTCATTTTTCCAGCGCATACCATCTAAAATTGAAGAAAAGCAGGTTACCTAATCACTTTTTATTTTGCACTAGAAATGGTTATGAAATCATATTGTGTAATACGTTGCTGTATTCACAATGAAAAATGGAGTCGTGTACAGAGTATACTTCAGTTTCCGCCCATATAAAAATACAAAGTTTGTGATGTTTTCTAGTAGACGAAACGTTACAGAAAAATTCTGCATACGTTATCGTGAAGTCCTTAAAAAGTGACCATGACAAAGTTCTATTTGTTTTACATTTCCTTTGAAATAAAGTCGAAGAAAATAAAAACGAAATTCTCAAATTTCGGTTTTTCTTGGATATCTCCGAAACTACTCAAAATATTAGAACTTTCTACATGGCATATTATTAGGCACATAAATGCGCTACTTTTCTCTAATTCAATCGACCCATATCACGTACCGTTTCCGATATCCCCATGCTGTTCATTCTTATCTTGGACACAGTGTATATTTATATATAACTTGTCGTTTTTTAGCTGATACCACTATTACTATCTCGGAAACGGTAGGTCCCACAAGGACGATTGAATGGTTGCCTTTTAAAGAATGCATCATAATGGTATCCTCAGATCGATCAGATAATCACCCGTTTCTGAGATATTTGCAAAAAACTGAATATGACATATTTTATTTTTTGCTCTACCGCCTCCATTTTTAATAATATCAAATGACAGAGGAACTTTTTGCTTC